GCTGGATAATTTGATTTAATTTTCATGACTCATATGGGTATTGGATCACACTCTAACATATTCATATGCATTTTTAATGATTTTAGGTTTGAATTTTGTTTAAATTGAGTCCAACGTGAGACAACTCATTTGTGTCGGATCCAAATGGATCTACTTGAGTTCAGATGATTCTACACACAAAAAAAAAAAAACCATATCAACCATCTCAAATTACGCCTTCAATCCAATTCACACCTTCAATGACGAAGTTTTCACATTTATGTTAGTTTCAGACAAAAGAAAAATGCAAACCCCGCATTAGAATAAGATATCCATTTTCTTTCGATTACGGATCTATTTTAGACCCAAACAAAAAATTGAATATGAACCTGCCCAAATATGATATTACCCTAATATGATTTTATCTATAATAAATAGGATTATAACTGATCACTTGGTCAGTTTGATTTGATACGATTCTAGAATTCGAAATCCTTTGAATCGTGACCATTAATTTTTTCAGTGCTTTATATGTATATTGGTTCAATTTGTTTATTTGTATGGTCCAAAGTTGATGAGTTGATTCATGGCCAACATATTAACAAAACTGAAACGTCTCCGCTCTGTGGAACAAAACACAAGTCACGGCCAGTCAACCATAAAGGGGGGCTCGAAGTGATTACTTTTTTTTTTTTTTGTGACAGAAGACTCGAAGTGATTACTGATTAGCCAATTAAGTGGCTGGATAACAATGTATTTGTTCATAAATTGTACAAAATTTCTAATGGAATTTCTCTTAACAACTTCAATTATTGCAATTAATGAATTATTGATATGAGAATCTTTGTTGATTAATAAGTTTTGTGTTTGGATTCCATTGACCCTCATTTGTTAAACCGGTGGTAACTGGTGGTAGACGGTATAAATGACATCCAAACCTTAGACCATTATGTATCTTTTCAAAAGTTAAGGTGCTAAAGTATCGTAATAAAAAATTCAGGTACCAAAACATAATCTTCCAATGATATTTTCGTATAAAAAATTAAATGATAGGTATCAAAGTGTAAATATAAAAATATTCCTATCAAACATTACTCTCATAGTATGGACCGGTAATAAATGTCCCAATTTTTTGGTTCCAAAATATATCAAAATAGATCTCATTTTTAAAAACAAAATTAATATGATTTGTATGTGCTAAAAATTTAAATTATGATTTAAAATATAAAAATAATAACCCGTTATACTTAACAAATAACAAAAGTGTAAAATTATTCATGATTATTATTGTAAATTATGCACCAATTTGTGCATACCAATTTAAAGTGTTGGAGCTTGTTAAGTTAACGTTAATTGGCCGTGTTATAAGGGAGGAACTAATCACTAATTCTTATGGCTAGTGGTGGTTCTTACAGATCCAGTTGTCGTCTCAATAGCTAGCTGGCCTTTTTCTGTTCTACCAGTAAAGGCAGTTCACCTTTGTTATAGTTTTAAGATGTGTTAATTAAATAATTAGTGGCCTATATGATCTTGAGCTCATATTAGAACTAATTAATTAGAATGCATTCAAAATTGTCAAGACACAGCCTTTTCTATCGTGGCAAAACCTTTTTCATGTATATTTGCATCATGGATGCAATTTTTTTATAGGGGTGATATTTTTGTAAAATCGATATATATCTGCTTCCCATCATATGCATTGTAAAATCGATAGATAAGAGCTCGTAAAATCGATGCACTGATGGAGAATAGATGCACGCTAGGATCGCTCCACTCAATATTCCTGAACAACTAAATTGCACGTGTTGTGAATCTATTTTTTGGGTTTTGAGTTTTGGCACATATATTACCCAATTATCCTCTCAAACTATACGAAGACAATGATCAAAATACGTACATTCATCGCGAGCCCGCAAACACAACTTCCCAAGTTAGTGATCTTATATATGATGTCGTGATAATGTACACAGCTCTAATTATCAATATAGATAATTTTTGTGGTCGAATCAAATGGTATAATAATTAATAGATGAGAGTTAAGATACTTTTAGATGGACAAACAAATAAAGACCGGTGCTATTGTTTTGGACACATGCGGTGACCGACCTCATCAGATCGAAGCCGCTCTTTCCTTCTTTGCACTTTCATCATTTGTTTTTGTTTGAACTTCTGAAAAAATCAACATTGGTCCCATGACATAATGATTTACCCTATTTTCTTCCATTTATAATATTATTAATATTCCCCACATTTTTCTATATCATCCTTCTGTAATTTGAGCCTACCAACGACATTGACGACGCAGTCCTTGCATCATGTGTGACGGCATCATCACACCCATTAAAAGGACATTTGACCCGAACCCGACCCGTTTTGGCACCATAGTGTCAGTTCACAGAGATACCACAGAGGAGATCGAGTAAGGGTTGTACAAATTCGGCTGTGGAGTGTTTCGTCTATAACTCGATCAAGGAATGTGTTTTATCGCGACTTGATTTATCCACAAATTGAATTTTTTAGTGGTGGATAAAACTCGACATTAAGAATGTGTGGTACGTTTCAAAAGGAGAAAACTTTCAAACAAGAGTCATGACCTTGAATCTCATATTGCAAGAGATTCAAGAATGATCAACCGAGATTGGTATGTGAAGATTCATTCGATAACTTCTTCAAACAATTTGTGTTATTTGGACTAATTGGTTTTCAACATAGTACTTGAGTTTGTAATGACCCAGAACCCTTGTTTATGAATCCTCTCAATTTTCAATATCAATATTAGATTCAGCCACAATATATGATGTATCTGTTAAAATTTCAAGCCCGCCAACTTGATTTCAACTCGGTGGATGCGTACAATGTTTAAACTCTCTCGACTTGATCAGCAGTTTTGTAACGGTTTGGACCAACAAAAGACTTCTTGAACCAAAATCACTAATGGATCGTGGGCCAGACATCAAACAGAGATTATGTATTGTGCTTGGTCTCCAGTGTCTACTCTTGTTCTTGGTTTCTAACGACATTTACCTTAAGGGTTAAAAACATATTTGGTCACTGAGATTACAAAATCGGGACATATTTAGTCACTAGAAAAAGTTAATATAAAATTTGGTCACTACAATTACTAAAACTGGACACATTTAGTCACTCGCCGTTAGTTGCCGTCCAACTCCGTTAAAAGAGTCTGTTATGTGCTGACGTGGCTAACGTGAGCGCCTAGTCAGCACCGTTTTGGCCAGGAAATGGTCAAACCCGACCCGCCACGTCACTAAACCCACCACGTATTAAACCCAACCCAATCCATTAACCCAATCCGACATTGTCGTCCGTTTGCTGTCCACGTCACCGCCGCCAGAAGTACTCCACGAGACGAGTCCCTGCCCCCTGCCGGCACCACTGTACTGGCAGCACAGTCGCGGTGGCCGCGGTGGAATCTTCACCTTCCCCTTCCCCTTTCCTGCATCCGTCACCAGATCTGATCATCATCAGTTCCTTCAGCTCCTCCTTGAATCCGCGATCCATGGAGACGTCCCTCTAATTAATATTTGAACACCGAACGATTCGATTGCTGCCCGGACGACGCTGCTGGCCTCGAACGTCTTGTGGATCCCTCTCAGGCTGGTGGTGTAGATCACCACCCTGTTCTCCCTGTTGGGTGGGCAGAGCTCCTCGAATCCCTCCAGCAAACCCGAAATCGGGGATTCCTTCTGCTGCGGTGGAGGCGGCGGGGGCTTAGAGAAAGCGGCAATGGTTTCCCCAATTGGGTCCTTTCGAGAAGGAGGAGGAAGGGGAGAGAAGCGGAAGCTTTCGATGGGGTCGAGGCCGGACATTAGTTCCCAGGAATTTATGACTTCTTGGGGCGGATCGGGGCCGAATCAGTCGCCGGCGGGGTTGGGAGCGGGCGAGTCGGTTAGAGAAGCTGGGAAGACGGAGCCCAAGGTGAAGCGAGGCGGCGGAGCGGGAGCGGCGGTGGTGGTGGTGGAGGAAGGTGGCTCGAGGTTGAGGAGGCCGTAGGTGGTGGATGTGAGGGAGACGATGTGATGACCGACGCCCAACGCTGAGCCACCCAGCTGCGTGAAGGTTTCTTCATTGCTCAACAGATTCTGGGTCGGGTTTGGTTAATAGATTGGGTTGGGTTTAATACGTGGCTGGTTTAGTGATGTGGCGGGTCGGGTTTGACCATTTCCGGCCCAAAACGGTGCTGACTAGGCGCTCACGTTAGCCACGTCAGCACATAACAGACTCTTTTAACGGAGTTGGACGGCAACTAACGGCGAGTGACTAAATGTGTCCAGTTTTAGTAATTGTAGTGACCAAATTTGATATTAATTTTTTCTAGTGACTAAACATGTCCCGATTTTGTAATCTCGGTGACCAAATGTGTCTTTAACCCTTTACCTTAAATATGGGTTGAACTGATGGTCATTGGAGTTGTTTGGGTCTATTTGTTATTGTTTTGAAACTTCACTCAAGAATTCGAGAATAACTAATATCAACATCCTACGTCTCTATTTCTCTCTCTCTTTTCAGTAAAACAAAGAAAAAAATTGTACCGACTTTCATCTTTGCTTGACGGATGAGTCTTGCAGTCAAGTTTAATTCCGCCCTTCATCCGAGAGCCAATCTTCGTCCAGCTCGAAAAAAATCGTTGCACGCCTTAGCTACCTTTCGAAGAAAAAAATACCACATAAAAATTGTTAAATCAAAATCAAATCCAGCAAATCATGTTACCAATGGAAATTGTTCTTCTCTTTGTTACAAAGGATAGCTCATTAGCTTGTCATATTTGCCTTCTGTACACGACTCCAGTCGACTGCTCTTAGTCCACACGCTTGCAAAATCCCTTGACGGACTCTAGCCTCCAGCCGAATCCCTTGATGCAAAAAAGCCCAACTGAGAAGGGCCGAATCGACAGAACCATTCAGTGGGTAGGCCCAACTAAACAATAAGTAGGTCCATGAAGCCCAAATTACATGTCCAGCCTTTGTTTCGATTTTCCTCCTCTTTTCTTGGTTATGTGCCTCTGCTGCTCGCTGGTAGCTGTCTCTCAAAAAAGCTCCGGCGACGAGGAATATGACGGCAATGGCGATCTTCCGTTCGAGGACATGGCTCTCCAGAAGCTTCTCGAGTCTTTCTTCTCATCCCCTTCGCGTCTGTGTGGTCGGCAGCGGACCTGCCGGCATGTACACCGCCGAGAAAGTAATTCCACGTTAGAAAATTTCTCTAATTTCTTAATTTAAATAATTTGATGAATAGTCCTTTTATTTCACTTCTGTTGCTTTTGAATTGGTGAAATTCAGATGCTGAAGGCGCACCAGGGGGCAGAAGTTGATATCATCGATCGTCTGCCGACGCCTTTTGGATTAGTCCGGTCAGGAGTTGCCCCCGATCATCCAGAAACCAAGGTCAGATTCTTGTTTGGTTCCTAGGGAAGTTCTTTGCCCTTGTGGGCTTGTAGGGATTTTTCCTTTCTTTCCCCATCAGTGCTGTCTCAGTAGAAGGTTAGAACTTTTGCTTGGTTGCTGGGGAAAGTGGTGAAATATGAGTAGAAACCCTTCTTGTTGAGCAGGACTCTTGGTGGGGAATTTGTAACTTGCATTTCTTAGTGACAGCAATGTTCTACATTTTCCCTTGGAAATATAACTCTGTTAACTGAGCTTAATTTACCAGAATACATGGAACAGATTGTGACGAATCAGTTCTCGAGGGTCGCGCAAAATGACAGGTGCTCGTTCTTTGGGAACGTTACTCTTGGGTCCTCCATTTCGCTCTCGGAGCTGAGGAACTTGTATGATGTGGTAAGTTTCACTGCTGGTGCTCCAATGCATCTGTTGTTTTCTTCTCTGTTGGCATTTTGTCTCTTCCACGTTTGTTTTGGCTAATTCTTGAATTCCAACCAAGCAGGTTGTTCTTGCATATGGTGCTGAAAGTGACAGAGCGCTGGGTATTCCAGGAGAAGTATGCTAATGACATTGGATTCAACATTGTGAATTTGAGGCGGTTTTCGTTGACGAGTTTGCCTGACTTATGGGTACATGTGTTTCAGGATCTTTCTGGGATATACTCAGCCAGAGAATTTGTCTGGTGGTACAACGGGCACCCAGATTGCAGAAACTTGAGTCCTGATTTGAAGAATACCGATACGGCTGTTATACTGGGCCAGGTATGTTCAGTTTAAGGGATTCTTGTTTTTTGTATAATTCATCCCTTTCAGTCAATGTGATTATTGTCAAAAAATTAAGTCAATGTGATTGGTGCCTACTTTAATCATGGATAGATTCTGTGTTTAATTTTTGTTAGCCATACTGCTGTTTTGTTCAGAGTTGTAGCATCAATGGTATGTAGGATGATCTGCATTACCTTCACTTTTCCTTCCCTTGTAATTTTTCAGGGGAATGTAGCTCTTGACGTTGCTCGTATCCTTCTACGCCCAACAGAAGAACTGGCAACAACTGACATTGCCTGCCATGCTTTGGCTGCCTTGGAGCAGAGCTCTATCAGGTTCTTACCCTTGCAATCATTGGCCCTTAATCAGAGATCTTGCTTGAAATCTGTGATTTGTTGTGCTAAGAGAATGAGCTACTACTACAGGAAAGTCTATTTGGTTGGCAGACGCGGACCAGCCCAAGCAGCTTGCACTGCGAAGGAGCTACGAGAAATTCTTGGTACTTTTATGAATCAGTTATTCTGTTGGGTTTCAGTTCAGTGTATAAAACATCTTGGACAATGCCACACAGATGTTGATTGGTATTTTGTATCTCATTGTTTTGCATGCAGCATTGCTTTTGTTTCCTTACTAAACCATCGCACCTGGGATATTGTATTGCAGGCACAAAAAAAGTACAGATTCACATCAAGGAAGAAGATTTACATAAAAGCCCCGAAGATGAGGTATGTCTCCCAGTCTTTATTCATGCATTCTAAGTTGCATTGAGGAGAGTGGAACTATGATAGATAACCAGAGATAGAGCATTCACCTCAAATGGGTTTGGTGGCATCAGTACCATTTAAGAGGTAAATATTATAAAAACATGGTTGAGAGAACCAAAAGCTACCCCTTCTATTGTTGATGAACTTGTATGTTTGTCAAACTTTAGTACAAAACTATCACACTGAAGTGGGCAATTGGTCCTTGTTAAGCTTCAAGGTGCAAATTCATAAAAAAGAAAATTCATCTTTCTTTGCTTGGTTATTTGTCTTCTGATTTTTAGCACATAGGCTTTCCTAATTTACTAATATCAAGCTTTGTCAAAGGAAGAGCTGAAGAACAGCCGTATCAGAAAGAGGGTTTATGAGTTGCTCTCCAAAGCTGCCACCACAGGACCTTCCCTTCCTAGTTCTGGTCAACGTGAACTTCACTTTGTGTTCTTCCGGAAGCCTGATAGCTTTTCTGAGTCAGCTGAGTACCCAGGGCACGTTTCTGGTGTACACTTAGAGAAGACGGTTCTCAAAGGTACTTTTTTCTTAAGTGTGATGTTGAGTCAAATTTCATATTTTCCTTAACTGCATGTTTAAGTCGCATGAGATTATGTAGTCTATCAACAAATTACCTGGTCTTCATATCTGGATGATATCCTTGACTTGATGCCTTATGCTTGTATTGTATACAATATTTGAAGTTCGAAGGATCATTTCTGGATTTGATTTAATTCTAATTGAAGGCATCACTTCCCTATTTCGTTTTCCAGTTTGACGTTTGGTGTATATGCCTGTCTACAGGTGTTGGCAGTGGGAAGCAGATTGCCGTTGGCAGCGGTCAGTTTGAGGACATTGAGTGCGGGTAATTCCTTCCTGTGGATTTTTTTTTTTTTTGATGGGCAATATCAAAAAATTTTATTGAAGCTCTATGTGTCCCCTGTGAAATAGGGGAACCACATCTGGACCATTACAAATCACAGCATGCTCACTGCTACTACTGCTACTAACTCTACATATACATAACAATCAAGAACCCAAACCTAACCTACTGACTGAGGACTGCTCTACAATCTGTATCCAAAACAGCATTTCCACATCTTGCCAACTCAATATTCCTGCGTACTGTCCTAACCAACTCCATAGGCTGCATAGGTGAAGCCCCATGTACTCTACCACAGCGTTCCCTCCAGATTAAGCTCACAACCAGATTCCAAACCAGTCTTCCAACCATTGCCAAAGCCTTCCTCCCCTTGAAAGTCTGTACAGCCCACTGCAAGTAATCCTCATAGCCATTCAACTGAGGACTTATTAGATTAAGCATCAGCATACAGTTTTTTAGAACCTGATACGTGTAAATGCAGCTAAAAAACAGATGGTCCCTATCCTCTGCTTGAGATAAACAGAATAGACAGGTTGCACTGGCTGCTTTCCCCCAACTCTGCAACTGTGTAAGAGTTGTAATTCTGTTTCGAGTGATAATCCAGCTAAGGAAGCTATGCTTTGGAATCAAATATTTTCCCCAAACCAGCTGATACCAGTACACTCGAGGTCTAACTGGTTGCAGGTCTTGCCACACCTGTTTCACAGAATAAGTGATCATTCTCTTATCCTTCCAAAACACTTGTGTACCCCAACATCTAAAAAATGCTTCCACTTTATCCCTGACCTTTAATAGTCGTTTCCAGATCCAGGAGGCAGTGCTGCATTTCCCCAACTCCCAGAGAGTTAAATTCTTGATCCTATTCAGATATGTCCAAGCAACCCACCATGATCCTTCCTTTGCTAGCAAACTCCATATGTGCCTTGTTGTACAAGCCACATTCCAAGTTTTGAGGCATCTAATACCTAACCCCCCTTCTTCCTTTGGTACTGCCAACAAATCCCAGGCCATCACAGCTTTTTTCCTCATGGACTCATCAGTTATACCCCAGAGAAACTTACTACATAGCTGCTCAATTTCCTTAATGACTGACATTGGCAAAAGAAACACATTCATCCAATAAAAGGACAGACTACTCAACACTGAGTTTATGAGCTGTAACTTCCCTGCATAACTAAGCAATTTTGGCTTCCATCCAGCAATTCTCTTTGTAATTTTTTCTACTAACACCCTACAATCCCCTTTAGTCAGTTTTCCTGCTATTAGAGGTACTCCTAGATATCGAACAGGTAGTTCTGCTTTTTGAAAACCAGCCATCTGAGCTAACCTTTCATGATCCCCTTCTGCAACCCCAGCACAAAATAATTGACTCTTCTCTGGGTTAAATCTCAGACCTGATAACCTGTAAAACCTGTCCAATAGGCATTTCACACTCTCCACTGCCTTAGTTGAACCATTAGAGAAGAGCAATAGGTCATCAGCAAACACTAGGTGAGTGATGCCTAATCTCTTACACCTAGGATGGTAAGGAAATTCTCCTGAAACTGCTCCCTTATTCAGAATACATGATAGGACTTCCATTGCAATTGAAAAAAGGAAGGGAGACAAGGGGTCTCCCTGACGCAGGCCTTTTTTAGAGGGAAAATAACCACAAACTCCACCATTCACACCAACACTCAACATGGGGGAAGTGATACATACCTCAATCCAGGATACAAACTGTGCTGGAAGACCCATTGCTTTCATTACTATGAGCAAAAAATTCCAATCAATTGAATCGAATGCCTTCATTAGATCTATCTTCATAGTGCATCTAGGGGAAATTTGTTTCCTGTTATACCCTGCAACCAGCTCTGAAGCCATCAGTATATTGTCACTGATACTTCTACCTTTCACAAATGCTGATTGATTCTTGCTGATTAACTGGGGGAGGACAGTAGACAGTCTATTGGCTAGGATTTTTGCAATGCACTTGTATAGCACATTGCAACATGAGATAGGGCGAAACTGTTTCATCTGATCAGCCCCCACCACTTTTGGAAGCAAAGCTAACACTGTTGAGTTAATTTCTCTAGGAAGGAATCCTGTTTGGAAGAAAGAGCTAATTGCACTAGTTATATCTTCACCTACAACTGACCAAGCTGCCTTGTAAAACTCTACTGTATATCCATCTGGACCAGGGGACTTATTAGTCCTTCCTGTGGATTTGCCCAACCTGCAGTCTCCCCTTTGCAGGGAGTTTCTTATTTTCTTGATCCTTTTACTAATTCAGTTATTGCAATCTACTCTTCTCAGTATGGTTCTGAAGAGCGTTGGCTACAAATCAGTGCCTGTACCCAGTTTACCATTCGATCATAAGAACGGTAGTGATCAGCAACATGAAAGCATTGAAGTGTATGAAATTAAACAAATCTATTCCGCGCCAAGTTCTTATCATTTGGTTCTTTCCAGGTGTGGTTCCAAATGCTGGAGGGCGGGTCATGAGCGATACTTCCGGAGACCCTGAACTAATCGAGCAGGGCTTGTACGTATGCGGGTGGTTAAAGAGAGGGCCAACGGGCATCATTGGGACAAACCTGCACTGCGCAGAGGAAACTGTAAGTTCCTGATTCCCCAAACCTTTGAAAGTTTCTGTCTTTTCATCGTTAGTTTAACTGGCTAACTAACTTGGTGTTCGGGGTTGACATGGAAGGTGGCAAGCATATCGCACGACCTTGAACATGGCTTGATAGCATCACCGTCTACGTCAACGAAGCCCGGCAGAGAAGGGCTCCTCCAGTTGCTCGACGACAGGAACGTGAGAGCTGTGCCGTTCAGCGGTTGGGAGAAGATAGACTGTGAAGAGAGGAAACTCGGGAGTCTGAAAGGCAAGCCCAGGGTGAAGTTAGGCAGCTGGGAGGATTTACTGAAAGTTGCAGTGTAGTTTCAGTTTTTCGTCTATACTTCCAAAACTTCAGTGTTATACATTTTGATGGATAACATACAATCATTTAGTAACGACGAGTTGTATCGGTTAAATCATGCGTATTAGATAGGGTTTATCGTACGATATTGTAATGACTTTTTATGCTGTTTTCGTACCAATTTACAATGGTATTCCATTTGTAATAACTATCGATTAAACAACGATTGTGTCACTAAAATTGATTACCATTCCACAAAACAGGATTGTAGAAGAGAGCCAGAGAGGGTATCTAAGTGGAAGGACAAAGAAGTTAGAGGACTGAAATGATAATTAACCAAACAACGGGCTTTGGACGAATGTGAATTGTTGTGAGGGCAACTCGTCCGCGTTTAATTGGATTCTCTTCGACTTCTTTCGTGGTCAAATCAAGGCAACAACGGCAGAGAAGAAGGCAAAGATCAGGCGTTTCCTTCGGAATCCGACCGCCGTCCCTCCTCGTCGCTGGTGGATAATCGTCCGGTCGAGCTCGAACGAGGAAAGGAGAAGCATTTGAAACTGCAATTAGTGAACTCCCATAGCAAGGGCTGGGAGGAGTTTTTCTATCGAATGGGGGGATTGAATTGGGTCGTGGCAGTAGTTTTGCTCGGTTCACTTTTCCAATCGCCGATTGTGCGGGCGAAAGAGCAGCTCAGCTCGAGAGAATGCGAGGATCTAGGCTTCACCGGACTCGCCCTTTGCTCCGATTGCCACGCTCTTGCTGAGTACGTCAAAAATCAAGGTTCTTGCTTCGTTTTCCCTCTCTTCTTCTGTTTTCTAGGTTTTAGCTGTGTATTTGCGTTTTTTTTATGTGGGAAAGTTAGCACCTTGACTGCAGAATCTGACTGATAAAGTAAAGTTGAGACTTTTTGCTGTTCATTTGTCATTTTGATTGCAGAACTGGTCTCCGACTGTTTGAAATGTTGCAACGAGGACTCCGATGATTCCATGAGCAAGGTATCTGTATAGAGGAATTGAAACTAGTTGCTTTGAGAATCTGAAAGGTTATTAATTGGACAATTGAGTTAGCTATTTGGAATGTACAAAGTATACTACCTTAGATCATGTTTGACATCATTACTAATACCTCCATTAGCCCTCCTTGCTGATTTCTCATTACGAGATAATTTAGCTGTCTTTCCATTGCATTCTACTGGGTAACTAATTTCGGGCTCGATTTGTTTCTATATGCTTGTAAATGATACGATTTTAACATTGGATTGCTTGTGATTGCTCTATGGTGTAATCCTCTCCAATTCCCAGTTTCGAGAAACTCTTGCCCTTATAGAAAAGGGACGACATTCAAGATTCTGTAATACAATGCCATTCAGTAATTTTGATATCTAAAAAGTGAAACTAACGTGTGAAACCCTCTATGACTATCCTTCTCATTGGGTTTCTGGTCTCTTTTAGTTGCCATTGTCTTTTTGTTTTTTGTTTTGCTCGGGATTTCAGAGATCAGCATTTCGTATTTTTGGTTACAATGTGTGGTTACAACGTTTTGAATGTCTACTTGGTACTTGTGGTAAGTGTAGCCAGGGAGAGTTAACCTGAAATTTGTGATCGTAGGTTACCTACTCTGGTGCAGTACTGGAGGTTTGCATGAGGAAATTGGTTTTCTATCCTGAGATCGTTGGCTTCATTGAGGAAGACAAGGACCAGTTCGGCAGTGTTAAAGTTCAATACAGTTTCAACTCTCCACCAAAGCTGATCTTGCTGGATGATGAAGGCCAACATAAAGAAACCATTAGGTAAGGTTTGGTTTTATCATTAGTTTTTCATAGCCCTCTTTATTTTCCATATAATAACGATGAAACTGTGGGTACTTTGGAATTGTGATACTTGGCTTGATTCATGTTAGAGGTCTATTGAGATACCATGTAGTCTTTGATCTCCAAAGACTTGGATAGCAAGACAAAGCTGTAGTCTGTAGCTATATTGCTACTTGCAGCATTAGATTCTGATGTTCCAAGGAAACTGACCCTCACAGTTTTCATGGACATGACCCTGGTGTGTCACTGACACGAGCATCTTGCTTCGTCTATAACTACATCATATAGGAGTTATAACGAAATTGAGCATTTTTCTAGTCATGGCTATTGCTTAGGAGTGAACGTAATTGCTTAAGGAAATGATAGACTTTTTGCTCTGGCCAAACAGGGGATTCAAACAATTTGAGTGGGACTGAAACTGAACGTATTACATACAAATTTGCCAGGTCCATTCGATTAATTTATGGATTGTTTATTCATGCTAGCCTTTTTTTTTTTTTTTTTTTTTTTGCTTATGCAGAATCGACAACTGGAAACGCGAGCACATCTTGCAGTTCCTGCGTGAGAAGCTTAAACCCAAGTCGGTATCAGCATCCTAAGTGCTTGGTATTACCTTCATGTTCTGGTCCAAGATGGGAGGGACTTCATTGGAGAGATGAAGGTACTGGTGCTTAGATTTGAAAGAATAGGTCTAATGTTATGGTTTTGAATGATTGGAATAAACAAGGACTAGACAGATGTGAACCAGACAGACAAAAGACTGAATTCAAACAGGCATTTGTATTTTGGCAGTTGAATGAGTTGCGTTCAGTCTCCTGCTCAATTATTTGATTGGAATGAACTTCACTGGATAAGCTGTTTTTACATATGGAAACATCCTATGAAAGATTTCCGTCGGCACAACAACTTAATAGGATTCATTCTGGTCGCCTTGGAATCTTTATCAGGAACTTGGGAATCACATCATTTGAATGCTTTGATTTCTCTGTTGCCAATCAATTTTCCATCGAAGTTTTTCAGAATAACATATGCAGAACTTGTACAATCCGATTACTAGCTGAACAGTGAACAGCCCCCGGTCTGCACAGGTTGACACAGTCGAATTTTGAGTATTTTTTTACAGTGCAGGGCTAGTTGGATCGACACAGATGACATTATTTACAAAATCATCGCCGAGCCATCAGTTTGACGGCTGTGATTTGCAGCCCCTCGCAATCGAACGGTATCCATGTTCTTACAGACCCTTACAACCTACATCTCGTGGGACGTGGAGGTCTAGGCAAAACGTAAGGGCTTTGGCTTATAATGTTCCCTGCCCTCTGCCTTCCAATTTGCTTTGCAGTTATTCCTTCTTCCTTTCTCTCTGTTGGAGTTTTTTCTTTTTTCACTTGCTCTGTGTTTTCAGTTTCTCCCACTCACACTGCTGACTTTTGCACCAGAAACCAGGCATGGGGGAGACTGGAATAGTGATGTCTATTCAGAATCCAATCCCCCTTTCCTTCCTTCTCTTCAGGATGCTTTCTTTCACTCTCTCTTTCGTGTTCCTTTCTCCAAAACCAGAGCATGATCTTTTGCCAAGTTGGCACTTGGCAATCGTATTATCAGTCCCCTTTGTGATGCTCCCAATTACCTTTCAAACACCTTTTCTCATGGAGAGTAATGGGTTCCTATCTTTTCATTGAACTATAGTTCAATACCCACCACCATGATTTTAATGGGCTTTCCATGCTAAGAGCATTTGAGCTATGGTTCCCTCGATATCGTGCTGATATCGTTGGATCAACTTACCAATCATCCCAACTCGTTGGATTGATTTGAATCGAAATCATAACAACACCACATGCATCTATATCCAACGACTATGCTTCTTGTGTCGCAAACGATCTGACGATGCCAGCCCATACAACAACAAAAAGAAACCCTATCATCATGATAATCCAAACCCTAGTGGAAGTGTTTGTGAGAAGGCTCTTTTCTCATTATAAAGGGTGTGGTGGGATCTATGATGGGCAGTTTGAAGGGAAATTTTGTTTCTTGGGGAGAGGTGGTGGTGGAGTGGAGTACTTTATGTCAAATCTGCACAAGAGTGGTGGTAGTCACTTACTGGTTCTTTCTCAGGATTCCAACTTATGTGTGATATATCATAGATATCTCCCTTGCATTTCACATCCAATTTCACCTTGAGTGCATGCCTCCATCCTTTTTGTTTTGTTTCACCTTCTCATGGAAAGTGAAAGAAAGAAAGAAAGAAGAAGTTACATTATTATCATTGTCCTATCATCTGACCTGATTTTGCACCACTTCAGGGGTTCATGTGGAATTGGGAATCATTCTAGTAGCAAGCAGTCTCTATAATGAATTGAAATGTGGCTTTGCATAATGTGTTGTATTAGTTTTGTTTCCTAATTAGGCAAGTGTGTTAATTGGAAACTTGTGATTTGGCTATAGCATTGATTTCATTTCAACAAGAAGCCAAAAAATTTCATGATAGATGGAAGCGCCTGAATCATTTTAGCCCCTCTCGCAAGTTTTCAGCAACTCATAAAGTTATTATGATGAACGTGATTCTTGACGTTGTATAATGCTAGAGCATGATTTAAATAACATGTAAGAAAATGCTATAAGCTCCATTCTTTTGCACCCTTGTAAGTTGTAACAACTGTGAGTTATTGAAATAACGTTTTCTCATCGTTAGAAACTCCTAAAGTTTAAACAAGCCACATGAGCAATCTGAAAATCTTGTTGTTTTTTTCCTGCTGGAAAGAGTAGGGCAAAGGGCTTTAATCAAAACAGGAAACATAATTATTACAGGATGTTTTAACTTTTACTAAAGTACCATTATAATTCCTGTGATTAAATCTTGTAGCCTGTAGGAGCTAATAAGGGAAAGATAGGCAAGTTGCAGCCCTAGTCCTCACTAACCTTCAAATTACTAGAAAACATGGCAATTTGTTTCCATTGACCAACAAACTTTTGAATAAACTGCTCACCAAACAAAAGAATGACAGCCTAAAAAAGACAAGCAAAACCCTGGCTTGAATTGGATCATTATCCTTCGCATGCCATTTTGACATCATTCACAGATAATCAATCAGCTTACTATGCTTCATATGGAGACGATCAACGAGTACCAACACCGCGAGTTCGCCTTCTCGTACGTTCTTCGTCGTCTAGTTTGTATAGTGTCATTTTCTATAAATGATGTCGACATATAACATAATCTGGTAACTTAAAAGAATACAAACACAATTCAACGAGATCGACATATCCGGATCTCTCCGAACCACAAAATATTAGAAGTTGCTGTCCATTACAAAACAAACAAACCAACCATCATTATTTTTTGTCCCAATTGCTCTGTAACCCATTTTTTGGGCAAATTTGGAACTTTGTACTGAAGTTATGCATGAGATGCATTCATTGCCACTGGCCTGCAATTCAATTATTTGATTGGGGTTTTTTTTTTTTACAGTCAGTACTGATCCCCTCTCTAGTAGAAATCATTTTGCCTCTGCCCATAATGTAAGAACTTGGGGATCCCCAAATGATGCAGAAATGCTGCCATTATGCCAAGCTCCATGATCACACACCTGGTGGAAGAAAGAAAGAAAGAAAGGTGGTCTCTGAAATGATATTATTGTGTTTCCCAGTCACTTGAGTTTGGTTGTGGTTTATTGAGGGAAGAATGGGTAGCAAGAAACAGGGGAAAGTGAAAAAATAAACAAGGACTTACTATTATTACTCTCTTACTGGACAGATATTTTTAGAATGATTGTAAAAAAATTGTTGTACTTTTCAAAAATGCCCCCTCGAAGTATCTGACATTTTGGGGGAAAAATGTGACGGTCTTGAAAATCTATGTTCTCGTCGAAAGGCTGGATGTGTTTATGTACGTATCGAGGAACTGGATCCTCGACAATTTGAATCCAAATCGTATCTTTTGATTGTCCAACTAGTAGCTGAGTCACAAATTTGAATGGAAAGGGCCAAAGAAATGATGCTGAAGGAATCCAAACCCTAGTAACTTAGCATAGGGGGATTCAAATCAGTGTTTGCTAAATCGTAATGTATCGGGTATCCCGGTAAAAAAAAAGGTCTATTGAATCCCAAGTCAGTATGAAATGGTCGGCCATAGTTAAATCACGGGTTAAGCACAAATTACCCAATCATTGACTTATTCGGTACATTCTCCGGTACGGTTTTACAATCATTAATTCGAAGTCGTACAAAACCGTTCTACATTTTGTACTGTTACAAGTTTTGCATATACTTTTGGTCGTAAACTGCGAGCTTATGAGAACGGGAAATCATTACTTTAAGTCTAAACAAATAAAAACATAACTTCCGAGCGATCAATTAGTGGAGGAGTCAGAAATCTGTACAAGAGGACATTCGAGAAATCCAAACCCGAGTAACCGACTCAAATTCGTACCAACTGATTTACAACTCAAATTTATACGAGTTTTACATGTGTTTCTAACTATACACTGAAAGTTAAAAAGGAGATTAGTTACCCCCACCTTATGAGTAGCTTGGCCACCACAACTTTTGTCAGTGGCCAATAGTGCCATGATTCAATTGAGCAAGGACCCAGAAGAACTGGAAGTACCAAGTTAAAAGTAACCAAACTGAAAGGCTAAAAACAATGGGAGCTGTAACTATAAGACTAGTTTTGTTGGTTACCCACGAACCAGCTAGGAGGCTATGGTCCTAGAAATCCATCAAATTGGAAACATACATGTCACAAGTCTCCATTAAGGGGAGCACCTTTTATTTTTCTTGCCTTCACATTTAGTACCTACAGTTTTTTTTTTTTGGGAATTCCACTACCCAAAATTCTTATCATCCCTTTGTGTACTCCCCAAATGTTTGATGGCAGGGAATGACGGTAAAACCAGATTGTATCGAAAAAATCAGTGGTGGAATATTTTATGTTGAAATTGTGGTTTAACTATACTTCAATCTTATCATAGCGCTAATCCTCCCCTCTACCGATTTAGACTCTGATATGTTTTCCCGGTCGGATCACCCGTACGGTACGAGTACGACTTTACAAACATGTATGGCAGACAACTAGCTGGGAGTAAGGGCAAACAGAGGGGGGGAAGAAAACCTCGCCTTAATGATTGATATAATACCACCTTGAGCGTATAATTAATCACGGAGTAAGAGCTAACAAATCGGTAAAAAAAATAAGATCAAGAATACGAGTTCAGTGCGATAATAAAAAAATACCCACATGTGAATACACAGTACTGCACATGAATTCGATATGCAAATCAAGTTAAGAACTACTTGGGGGATGAAGCTTGGTGGAAAGTTCAATTAAGGGAATTCTTCCATCCTTCAGGTTCCAAGAAGGGGAATGTGTAGTATCAACTGTCATTACTTTTATCCATTGTAAACATATTTGTCTACTATTTCATTCTATTATGATATAAAAAATAAATAAGAAAAGAAGGGGGAAATGTGGAAGTCAAGATCAAATGTTTATCAACTTCCTTTGGAAAAAAGGAACTGGAACAAAGGAAAACAGTGTATCTGGTTTGGTTTTGGAGCCAATGTATATTAAAAAAAAAAGCTATAAAAAGGCCTAAAATATTTCAACATTGTTGGCTGGCTCCCTTATCAAAATGCCAAATAAGAACATAGTACTAAAGTGGCGTGCAAAAGTTTTCAAAAGCTAATAATGATTCCTTACCCCCCATAGGATAAAAATGGTAGCAATTCAATAAAATGTAAATTAACTATCCTAAATAGTAAATATTGAACCTTCTAGCCACTTTTCTTCGAGTGAGGTGATTTCTTTTATATCAGTGCCGGACTCATAAATATAAGTGGGTACAATAAAGTAAAAAAAAAATTAAGGGGATAGTTTGAGTAGTATTAAATGTTTTTTTTTTCAAATGTGTTACTAATTTTATCTTATATTTTCAAGTGGCTGTTTGCTTCATGCATTTGGAGGCATGAGGGTTCTGAGTGAAAACCTGGATTTTGGAAAACCTGAATTTTGGAAAACCTTGAATTTGTAATGGATCTCGTTCATAATGGATTTGAAAAGTTTTATGTTTGTTTGATGGATTTTGTTCATGAATGTATTTTTATGGTTTTGTAACTTTAATATGTAAATTACCTTAATATCCTCATCTATTTCTTTTATATTCGTGAGGCAAGATGATATACATGTAATTATTATCATGTGGTCCACGGATTTGTGACTATATATGTTTCAAATACACACCCATATTTGGGATTGCAAGTTCATGAGACTCACAAATTTGGACAATCAAAGTCCATGAGTCCCACGGATTTGGTCCTTCCACCAACATATGGACCAAACAATGAATTATGTTAAATCCATGATGCCCTAAAGCAAACGACCCCTAACTATAGTTTTGAAGTCGAAAAAAGAAAGATTTCCCCCCCATTTGGAATAAAGCAAAGCCCTATTACATCGAAGGCCATGTAGCCTCCAGGATGAAGGGGAAGTCCATCCTACAATTCGAAATTGAGAGTTCCAAATTGAAATCGAATAATGAAATCGCTAAACCAATCTCTTGTTCACTTCGAAAAGTCATTTCTATTTTCTGATAAGTTGGAGCTTCTCTTTTTATTCTTTCTTCCTTTTGTTTTGCTTAAATCAATGAAAGGGAAATCTTTATAGAGATGGGGTCATTGGAGTGAAAGAGAGAGGATGGTGTTTTTTTTCTTCTTCTTCTTCTTTTTTTTTTTTTTTTTTTTTGAAGAGAATGATTCATGCTGTCTCCTCTCTATAAACAAAAGTCCTGGTTCTGATCATGATTTCCACTTGCGATCACTTATTGTTGGAAGTGGGAGAGAAGACTTGTGGATTAACAATTTAACATGGCTCTCCAGTCCAGTGCCCTCCTCCTAATTGCGTTTTGACATTTAGGGGGAAATAATAGAGCCCAAAAATTAGGAGTGAGCTTGAGGGTTTGTTGATTGAAGAACCAATTCAACTTCATATTTAACCAAATCATTACGTGTCGAATCGGAATACCAGTAATGGTAGCACAATTGTTGTGTTATGTAGTTTCTTCTCTATATAAGATCACCCGAATCAAAACTAACTCGCACTTATGAGGCAAGCATTTTACAGTTCGTCCCATGCAACCATATGTTTAGAGTTTATCGAATGCAAAATGCTCGCGCCTCATATTTAGATTGCATGTTCACACGAGTATCTTTCGCATGTTCGTAGTTTTTTTTTTATAAATATCTAATAGTTGTTGAAGTCAAACCCAAATTTCGGTTCTTTCGATCATTTCTGAACAACGAAAAATGACATTTTTTTATTAAGAAAATTCAGTTGTACGATATCGATACACGTGAAATGACAAAACAAATGCGAAGAAGATAAAAGAAAATCGGTCTAGTATCGTTGAAAAGTTATAGTTTGGTATATGGTGAATGTATGGGAGCAATGCATCTAGCTAAGTTAAAGATGCTTTTTTTGATAATGACCATACCCCATAGGGCACATAAAAGAGGATTAGGATATAGTTGAGATTAGCCAAACATGCCTTGGGGAAAAAAGCTAGGAAGAGATGATGATTAGGGTTTTGATTTTATATATTTGCATTTGAGGGGTGATAATGCCAAGAGTACCTTTTTTGGAGGGCCTCTCCCTTTCCCTTACTCATTGTCCTTAAGTTAAGTGGCATCCACTTTGGGCTTCTCGGGCCCATCTTTTCGTTGGTGGGTCGGGCGGGCCCACTTACATCCCCCAGATTCTCTCCTTTTTCTCTTTCCCTCTCTCGTTCTTGTTGTACGAGGGTGTTACTAACTACAAGACGGCACCCACATTTTTCTTTTTGTCATAAAGCAGGCTCAAAGTTTGAAATGCCTTTCAACAAAGGACACCATTAGGGCTTGTCGGAGGACACCTCTCAAATCTCAATGTGCCAAAGTCACGCGTGTGTGATATAATGATTCTTTTAACCACAATTCATAATGCTCTAAAAAAAGTAGTTTAGATGAATTAAAGTATTGATTAAGTCGTGTATCTTGAAGAGTTAAGCAAATCCGATCGTGCTCTGCGACTGCGAGCGCTTGATTCGTACTTCTGGCTTGTGGTAAGCAGGGAGTAGCCTGATCGAGGTAGTCAATCGATCAGAATGGAGAGGAGCTGCAGTGGGATATTTTTGTTCTTGATCGTATAAAATTGACGAACGAGTATCGACGATGTAAGTGATCGAGGCCGGTTTAGAGGAATTTTTCTGGGCTGCATGCCATACTCGAACACCAGGCATGCCCAGAGATAGGAGGGAAGTGGTCATCCGACTATTTCTGAGTAACTCCGGCTTATTGTCTAGTTTTTTTCTCTCCCTTACTTGTTTCGATATAGTAGCAGAGACAGATTTTTTTTTTCCATTCGTGGAATTTGGAAGAAAGTCGTTAACTAGAATTGTGTGAATTCGTTAAGCTTCAGAGAGTTAGAAGAGTAAGTCAGTTGAATCTCTGAAATTTGAGAATGTGTTAGTCTGTGATGAATAATTATTTTAGGGGTCGTTTGGAAGTTGCGAATGTTAAATCGTTGTATTGTAATGAATCACTACAATATAAATACATGCATTGATACAATAGATCAATTTTGACAATACATTGTTTGGTTGTTGAGATTCTAATTTATGTATTGATTTGCATAAAGTTACTTTATAGGGAAATGTCACATTTACCCTCACCTTCTAGTATAAAACAAAAAATATTGGGGATATAAATGGAAAGAAAAAGTGGACACAAATCTAAAAGAAACAATCACAACAATCTCAACTTTTAGTTGAGATTGTATAATGCATTATTTTTTGTGATTGTTGGTGGGACCTACACAAAACAATACATGCATTGTTTTACAACTTGACACTTCCAAACATTGTATTGTGCATAATACATGTATTTAACAAACACAACTCTAACAATCACAACTTCCAAACGACTCCTTAATTCTACGGGAAACTAGTAAGAAAAAACTAGTAAAATTTAGGCTTGTTCTGCGCGTGATACGTCTCGAAGACATACTCGACTAATGGCAATAACGTAATAACATTAACACGATAATTATATGGTAATTACGTGTAGGCATACGATCGAAGCAAAATTCAGAGAGGTATAATATGATTAAAAAAAGAAATCCTTTATTCCTACCGGCCGTAACCTTTTTCCACTCGACCGCCGCCGCCCGTCCAACCTCGCCGGCGGATGAATAGTGTTTCTTTAATCTTTTTCCTGTCCAAAGTCCAAACATTCCTTCTCTTTCTACGGCGACAAACACCACCCACTACATTTCTTTTTTTGTAATTGTAAATTGTAATTAGCATCTCTCTCTCCTGCCTCTTTTTCATATCGATTTTCTCAGCATCCAAACAACACAACGGCCAAAAGAAATCTGAAATCTCGCAGTTCGGTTGCTTTCTCTCTGTTTCTTCTTTTAATTTTTTTTCTTCTTTTTGAACTTTTGCTGTCTTCCCGTTTCCAGAGCGCTTCTTTTTTTTTTGGTGGCAAACGTCTGTCGGGAACGGCCACCGCCGCGTTCCGTCGCTGTCTGGGAAAGTGATGATACGTCGCCGTTTCGTACTGTGCCCGCCGGGCATGGCGGGGAAACGGGCAGCAAGTTTTTTTTTCGCCGGAGAAAGTGGGCTGGTGGTTGCGTTGCTTCCATGGTTTGTTGCCGGCCACAAAAGTTGTGTGAAAGCTCAAAGCAAAGCTGTGACATTAAACCAAACTGCTCAGTTCTCCTGCTAAGAAGAATCAAATAAAAGACAAATTTCCCGGCTGAAATGGAATATTTCCGGTTCCCCACTCCTCTTTTATAAGAACAAAAGTTGTTAGGATTAGGATTGTGATTCGTTGGTATTTGATATTTGGTTCTATATAAGCCATGATAATAATATATGTGAAGTAGACGGCTATCTCAATATTCATATTTGTTTTAATAATATGGTCATGATTTGTTAGTCAAGTCATGTAATTGGGTCAGGAGCATGGGTTAGGACATATACCTAGTTTCGTTTAGTACAACGTTGAAGACAAAAAGATAATGTAGATGATTATACAAGTTTATCGAGAGGTCAACGTGACCGGTAAAGAGGCACATATAATCAAAGAAGTAAACTGCTAAAGGATCACGGTTAAAGCTCAAAAGAGCAAGAAATCTAGTAAGGTTGAATTAGGGAAGAGGCAAGAGCCTTAAGGGATGGTCCCTCGAGGGCGGAGGGTGGTTGCCGTGACGAAAGTTACCGCGCGTCAGGCACCCTCTGACAACAATGACACAAGAAAGACATAAAAGATGTCAGGTGTCCGACCAAAGCATTAATGGTCTCGGAGGCGTATGAGTATCTGACTCATATACATATCCAAAAAGTGTATAAATAAAAGTTCTTAATTCCATAAATGAGTCAAATGGTATACGTATAAACTACTCTTTCTCTATTTTCTTTTACTTGAATCTTCATATGCCTTCGTTTTCCCCTTTATCCGAAACCCTCCGAAAACACGTATAGCACTTAGCAATAGCAAGATGTCCGAACTCTCATATATCTAGACCGTTGGACTCAAACCAAAACCATATTGGCTTGTACTATTCTAAACCATATTACTCGGCAAACCATATTTAGCCAAAAACTCAGCCAACAGTGGTGTGAATCGAGTCGGAGAGCAAATCCAGGATGTGTTTGTTTGGTCATTTTCCAAAGTTTCAGAAACCCAAAATTCAAGTGTGAGGAAGATGAGAAAAAACAAAATCGACAGTTTCCATAACATTTTTTAAAAAAAGGAGAAATTGGAAGAGGAAACCAAACATCCCTATAAAGTAATAATGGTTTCACCTTTATTTATTCACTTCCTTATTGCTGGCTACCAGAGAGGAAACAGTACTCCATTGCCTTCCTCCCTCTTTCTCTGCTCTGCTCTGCATAATATAACCAACCAAACAACAAATCTCCCTTCTCTCTCTCCCTTCTCCTCCACACTCTCGACGTGAATTCCCACTCTCAGACTTCTCAATCTTCACACACTGAGAGAGCTCTCTTCCCCCTTTTCATGTCTGTGCCCTTGGAGCATGATTACATAGGCGATTCTTCAATGGAGAAAACAGGGGATGTTAGTATTATCACACCGCAACAAAAGAGCACCACCAAATTCGCCTCTTCTCTCAGCATGAACCTGAAAGCCACAGAGCTGAGGCTCGGGCTACCCGGGTCCGAGTCGCCGGAGCGAGACGACGGCAGCAGCGCTGAGCTCTGCATCGGCTTGCCCAGCAGCAAGTCCTCTGTTTCCAGACCCAAGAGAGGGTTCTCCGTCGCCATCCACGGCGGCTCCGGCAACTGGGTTTTCTCCCCCGGCGCCGGTGGACCGGATAACAATTTCTCCTCCCCCAGAAACAACCCCGCCGCCGCGAATTCCGAGCAGGCTCCCAAAGACGGCGGGCTGCCTCCTCAGTCGTCGCCGGCGACGGAGAAGAAGAAGGCTCAGGCTGCCGGTTCCGGCGCCGGTCCAGCTTCTAAGTAATCAATTACTCCCCTTGCTTCTCAATCTTTTAAGTATTCTTCTGTTCAATTTCCCCTGTTTCCCAATCTATTTTGGAATTGAAAATTTGGGGGTATCCCCTGTTTTTTTTCCTCTGTTTTGGTCCATGTAGGGCACAAGTGGTGGGATGGCCGCCAATTCGTTCGTTTCGAAAGAACACCATGGCTTCCCATCCTACTCCGAAGAACAGCGACGTGGTGGAAGGAGGCGACCACAACCCTAACTCAGGGGGATCGGCATCGTCGACATCAGCTTGTTTGTATGTCAAAGTCAGCATGGACGGGGCGCCATATCTCAGGAAAGTCGACCTCAAGACTTATGGCGGCTACAAGGACCTCTCTCTTGCTCTCGAGAACATGTTCAGCTGCTTCACTATTGGTACTGTTCAGTATTCTATCTCACAATTAGACACTTACTATTAAACATAGATTCCCTAGGGTCTAAGTTTTACTGTAGAGATGGTTGATAAAGTAATTGAAGGTTTTTAATGGAATTTGGATACTATACTCAATAGGGTACACTCAAACACCATGCTTGTGTCTCTTTTAGCTGTTTGATTTGCGATCGGATGGTTCTCGTGCTTATGTAGTGCTATGAATATTGATTGCTTGTATTGTTCGTGTTTGCCTTCGAGGCAAACGACAACCATCTGATTACGAATCTGATGGTTGTAAGCATGCTAAATAAGGTCGGTATAAGCATCGTGTAATTTTGTATGTTCGCGTCCTGTGCTCGCTATGACCGTCTGATCGTAAATCTAAAGGCGAGAAAGTGTAACCATGGGAGCATATGTGTTCCCAAGCTGGAACAGTTTGCAAGAGGTAGTGGTGGTGACTATGCACTGGAATAAAAGCTAATATGGAAGTGATGATGTGATTAGGCATAAAGCCATTAACATGCTTGCTGCTTTGCTTTGCTTTGCTTTGATGATGTCTTATCACCCATTAACAAACAGTAAGCATCATTTTTGTGGTTCCCCTGGCCCAACTTGTAGATGCGTGAGAAGACATAATGATTATATGCTTAGATTCTGATTGATCTTAATGGGTTCTTTTTTTCTACTTCTTACTTTATTTTCCTCCGTTTTACATCAATGGTGGTCGGGGTTTAAAGGTCAATGCGGGTCTCATGGCGTTGCTGGGAGAGATGGAGTGAGTGAGAGTCGACTGGTGGATATTCTGCATGGTTCTGAGTATGTACTCACCTACGAAGATAAAGATGGTGACTGGATGCTTGTTGGTGATGTCCCTTGGAAGTAAAATCTAACCCTTTCTTCATCCTATCCTTACATAATGCAATGAAGTTATAGTCTAACCCATTTAAGGACATGCTCACCTTTGAATCTTCTGTTGCAGGATGTTCATCGACTCTTGCAGAAGGCTGAGGATCATGAAGAGCTCGGAGGCCATTGGTCTCGGTACATAATCTGCTTTTCTGTTTCAAACATGCTCTATTTCCCCTTCCATTGTTTACCCAAATCCAAATTTTAATCCGTTCTCTCTGCCTGTTGCAGCACCAAGGGCGTTTGAGAAGTGCAAAAGCAGTAACTAGCATGATCATAACTGCTGGATCCAAACTGAATGCAACCCATATGAATACTCTGCTGCCTGCTTTGGATCTGGGAAAAGCTTCTTCCTTTTTTTTTTTTTGGTTCATGGATCCAAATAGAATGAGGATCCACCCCCACTTTTTGTCCTTACTTTGGCATATATATTAATATTGTTCTATAGTGTTTGCATTAGATTAAAAAAACTGTTAAGTTTGCTTGGCTTCAGATGTATTGTTATTATTATTTGTGCTGATCTTCCTGGATATCATCATGAGTGTCCCCCCTTCCTTCCCTACCTGCAATTATTATTTGTGTGTAAAATTTGTTTCTTTGCTGCAGCTTCCTCTTTTCCTTTTGTTTTCTGGGTTGCCCTTTTTCTTTTCTTTTCCTTTCCCCTCCCCCAATTTTCTGCCTTTTGTCCCTCTCTAGCTCACTGTGCCCTCTGAAAAGAAGCAAAGGAAGTGAGAGGGAGGGAGGAAAGATGATGGTGGTTGGGGGGACAAATTCAATTGCAAAGCCAAGCCCACCAATGGGGTGTAGTCTAGTCTAAGTCTAGTGCAGTCTAATACAGGAGAGAGTGTGTTGATGGATTGATTTGATAGGCGGCTGCTGCTAAATAATCTTTTCATCAGGGGTATCTGCAATGTGCTGCAGAATTCTTTCTTTTCTTCTTCTTCAGGAACCAATGAAACTGAGGCAGCCCAGGGTGCTGCTGTTTGTCTCAATCTGGATGGATGGTGAATGAAAAGGGTTGTTAGCTGTGACTTGAGTGAATGTGGAAGTGAAATTTCATTGTCTGGTGGATTCATGAATGATCTTGGTGTAAGAGGGGGAAGTTGATGTGATGTGAATGAATTGAGTCTTTTCTGGGGCTGTAAATAAGTTAAAGATTAGGTTTTTGGCTCATTGTTCACAGGGGGAGAAGTAGTAAGAAAACAAAACTGGGGAGCAGGTTTTCTGGGGGGCCCTGTTCTTGTGGCTCATGTTTGTAGTTTCAGTATTTGTCGTTTTGGTATGGTGGAGGTCTTTCAATGGCGTGAGTGGTAAGAAGCACTAATCAGCAGGGAGAAGATGAAGATGAAGGGATAAACACAATTTCATGTCATCCTCACTTGTGATTGACACAAAACATTTGCATATTTCTTAAACTTTAAATTTACAAGTTTATGACATCCCTAGAATCAGGTCGGCGCGTGTGAAAATCAGTCTGGGGCCATTTTCGAGAAAGTTTTTGAGTCTGTTGGCGATGCATACTGAGTTCCATGTACGATTTGTATGCCGGAAGAGAAATAAGGTAGCCCATTTGATAGCTAGAAAAGTCCTTTTTTTGTACCCGACATCGTGAGTTCTAGCACATGATGTGCGGTGGTATTCCCAATGATCGAGTTGTAGCACTGTAAAGCATGGTCTGATTCTCCTCGAATATCAGGGTGGTCATGGGGCGGCAATCATAGCCTCTCAAGTAATCTTCTCCGACTCTTATGATTAGGTTGTTGAGTCGAGATTTTACAATGTTCATCTAATACGTGAAATGATCAAAGATTCAAAGTAGTGCTCATCGAAACGATTTTTCACATAAAAAAGGGTGCACATATTTCATATTAGGAAATTATCAATGATCCAGGCAAAATGTAGAGCACTTCTACTATGCTATATAGCATTGGTGCTTTAATGTACAACTTGAAGTTGTACCATAACATTAAATGTATAAGTTTAGGTTGTACCATAAAGGAATTTGTATCATTATGTTATGGTACAACTTTACAACTTGAAGTTGTACCATCACATAAGGTACAAGTTTAAGTTGTACCATAAAAGAATTTGTACAAAAAGTATAGGTACAATATGAAGTTGTACCATAACGTTAAAGGTACAATTTCAAGTTGTACCATAAAGACAAAAACCTATAGCACTAATGCTATATAGCATTGTAAAATTTCTCCAAAATGTATTACATGAATTTGTATTGTTGTTGTGCAATTGTTTAATAATATACATAAGATTTAACGAGAAAATCATTTTATCATTTGCTTGAACGTTCAGTATTTGTGAAAATTGTTACTAACAAGTTTTTAAAATACTTATTGGAAAGGGTAATTGATTGTTTGTAATGCAAAGCCCATAAACCCACTACAAAAGTCCAACTTTCAGGCCCGGTTTTCAGTGAAGCCCACTACTTCCGGCCCAAAAAAACCCCAAACTGCGATTCTTTTCGAGGGTCGAGGAATATAAAGACTACACGCAGACAATTGCGAGCCGTTTCACCGCTACCTTCAGCAGACGACGGAAGCCAGGCAGCCGAGCCGGCGAGGGATTTTTGGGCGGAGGGAGTGCTTTCTTCTCTTATCTCCACCGTGATCACCAGTATTCGTATCTCCGACCGAAGGCTTTCCGTTCTACCCTTTTCGGCAGGAATCTTGTGTCCAGGTTTTGAGCCTTATTGCCCTCTAGGCCGTTCGTGCAATTAACGAACTGATGCTTCCTAGTTGTATCATTCCTAATTCCGGCTGCTCAATCCCTTTCCGCGGGTTTCTCATTTCCGTGAATTCGGATTCTATAGTTTGTTTATTTGGGAGGAACGGTTTAAGGTTTTCAGAGCTACGTCGGTTACTCGAATTCATTAGGCTGGAGCTATACTCGTTTACTTCTGTGCCCTAGCTCTGTTTTTTTGGCTGTTGGCGTGACTTAGATAGAGCTCGAGTTCATGTATTCCTGTCTTGCTATGCCACATTTTGCACCAGAGCGGGGAATTGACGTTGGCGTTCTATTTAGGGTTTCGTTTTTTAATTCCCAAAACGCTGTTTGGAGGGGTTTGATTGGAACAGTTTGTTTTATGGAGATATTCCTGATGTGTTCACCGCGCTTTGATCGGGGTTTTTGGGTATTTTCTCGGGGATGGTTGAACTAGCTGTTCTTGCTGACTGGCGAGCCTGTTTCCCGGTCACAAGATTAGGCGTTCTGTCTGTCCGTCAGTCTTTTGCAATTCTCTGTTCCTTGGCGTGATGATGGCTTTTATAACATGTTACTGATTCTGTTCAAAACTTATGAGCAGGAAGATGACGCTAGGCGAGGAAGAAATCACTAGGCTGTGGAGGATCGGGAAGACTGTATATCAAATGCTAAGGGACCGGGGGTACCTTGTCGTTGAATCTGAGGACAAAATAAGTAAACATCAGTTCATTTCAAAGCACGGCCAAAACATGAAAAGGGAAGACCTTACAATCCAGAAATCTAAGAAAAATGATTCCATGGATAAGGTATGCTATTTTTCCCCCCTTGTCTGAATAGGATGAAGAGTATTAACTGCAATGTTTTTGTACTATGCAAAGTTATACCTGGTTAAAGTTTCAGTATTCAGAAATTGCATATGTTTGTGAATGTAATTATATTGAATTTTTATGAGTAGCTACCACTTGCTTGAAGAATAGAACACCGGTTTGGACCTGCATTGGCACCTGCACCTGCATGAGCATGAGTATTTTGATAGATGTGATTGTCATTGAAGTGTGAATCTATAAAACTTTTATGGGTAGATTGAGAAAAACGGTGGAAGAAAGCAGCTGTATGTGATTAAAACTGATATCAGGAAGCATGCTCTTATTATTGGGAGCTTGATTGAACAACCATTTTATCCTTGTGAAATGAATGGTACTGTTTGGAACAAGCATTTTGATTGGAGTATCACTCCTTAGAGATCGTGAAAGCAATTATCAGCAGCTATTCATGTTGTCCTCTTATATGTTGTTATGTTCCATTCTTGGTTTAATTTGCTTGACATAGAAGCAGAAGATACTCCATGTATGCTCTTTTGATTTAGTCTATGTTTTCTCATGGTTGCCTTATTGAATCTTTTCTCTACCAGATTTATGTTTTCTTCCCGGAGGAAGCTAAGGTTGGTGTGAAAACAATGAAGACCTATATAAATCGCATGAAAACAGAGAATGTCTTCAGGGCAATCTTGGTTGTTCAACAAAATTTGACTCCATTTGCTAAAACATGTGTAGCTGAAATGTCGAGCAAATTTCAGTTGGAGGTCTTCCTGGTAAGATTTTCATGCATAGCAACACATCTAAGGGCAATGTTCATCCTGTTGGATTTTTGTTTCTGTCCTGTTTTTCTAGCTACTGTGGTCTGCGGGCTATACATCTCCCCTATTATATCGCCTGCACATTGTCTTTTTCGAATCTGTTGTGAGTTCACACTCCTTGGTTGTGGTACGAGATTGCGATAGAATACAAGTTCTCATATTCCTTTGGTTCCATTCGTTTAGGAGGCAGAGCTGTTGGTCAATATCAAAGATCATGTTCTTGTCCCTACACATGAAGTGCTCACAAATGAGGAAAAGAAGACCTTGCTAGAAAGATACACTGTGAAAGAAACGCAGGTGAGTGTTACACATTATCGATGTATTAACTTTTACAAGATTTAAATCGAAATCTGATTGGGTGTCGTTTGGAATCAGCTGCCTCGGATCCAGTTGACTGATCCAATTGCCAGATACTACGGGCTGAAGAGAGGTCAAGTGGTGAAGATTATCAGGCCAAGCGAGACTGCTGGCCGATATGTCACCTACAGATATGTTGTATGAACAACTCTCCTTCGCGGATAATGGAAGCCATTTCAATTCCAATGCACTGGTCGCATCTCTTGGATATCTCTATTCCTTGTCCTTCTTTCGGTTCCATTTGCTCTGGTTTTTGTGGATTCTCTGATTTGTAAGGCTACCTGTTTCCAGGCAGAGAGATTTTGATCCTAATGTAAGGCAAGATGGGTTGGTCACTGAGTAGAAAAATAACGATTATGCTTGTTGGTTTTGTCTGGTTTAAGTTGGATAAACATTATGACAGAGGACTTGCCTGATTGTATCACAGCATAGTTAGTCTCTCGTATGAACTGAAAGCTCTCAAAACTCGACATGACCACCAATTTTTTTGCTTAGGGAGCTCTACATTAACTGGCAAAGCTTGTTTCATTTTGCTAAGCGCGATTCTTTTTGGTGGGATAAAAACTTAGAACTTTTAAATTTTAAAGCATAATTTTGACTAAATTAGTTAGCAAAAGCGCACTTCTATATAAAGAAAGTGTTTTGGTGATCTAAAAGTGTAAAAATGTACGCTTTTAAATTTTAAGATACGATTTGGGCTACATCGGTCACAAAGAAACTAGCTTGTTTCATCTATGAACATGAATCAAACTCCTAACCTCGTGTGCAAAAAAACAAGCGAATTAACCGTATCGTCGACATAGAAATTGTTCAGTAAAGCTAGGCCCCACAAAATAACAAAGCACTTAACGGTTGTCGATTTAATCGTTAACGGTCACTTAGGAATTTGGTTAGTGATGAAACCGTACCCGATATTATAAAAATAAAATAAAAAATCACAGCAATGCTTGCTGAATTGGGCAATTTTGTTAGGGCTCCGGAAGAAGGGTAGAAGGAAAAGGTATTGAACCTTCACTCAGCAGCAGTACTCCATTGCTTCTCTGGTTCGCGTATCTTTGATTCTTGAATCTTGTCGGGGTGGAAATTTTACCAGGACAATGAAGCTGAAGCAACTAGAAAGCCTCTTAGGCAACCTTCAGCAATTCTCCAACCCAAAGGTCTCTCTTTCTCTCTCGTTCTCTTCCCCTCTTTCCCCTTCCTCCTCGTCTTTCCTTTCTGCCGGAGATTCTGAATTATCATTGGCCCTGCTTGATTCGCCATGTCTGGGACGCAGGTGGAGCTGGAGCAGTACCCTACAGGACCTCACATCGCTTCCCGCATGCTCTACATGGTCACTTCTTCCTTCCCCTTTACTTGCTCTGCTTCTATTTCACTCAATGAGCTTCCCTTCTCCATTCCCTGGAATTGGGGTCCTTCCAGGACTAATTTTCTTCAAAGCTAACTGGGAAAGTTTGCGGCTTTTATGGTTTCAACGATGGAGCAGGCGGAGAATTCATATGGGGATGTGACTGAAAAGGTAGTGGCGGATTTAGGCTGCGGATGTGGAACATTAGGCGCTGCAGCTGCTCTGATGGGCGCAGAGTGAGTTCCGTCCTCTGAAAATGATACATTCAATCCTTGGTTCTCTCTTTAGAGATGGCAGCTTTCTAGAATGTCATTCACTGTAAGATTTAGAAAGGGATTTCCATGATATTGGCTGCACATTGAGCTGTTGTTTGTTATTCAGACAGGTATTTGGTATTGATGTTGATTCGGAATCCCTTGAGATGGCAACGGCTAATGCTGAGGATCTCGAGGTACTCTTTCGTACCTTTTCCTTTTATTTTTGGACGGCCTTTTACATTTCCTCGTAAATTGTGGATAAATGCATTGTTCAGCTGATGATCTTCCATCTGTTGAATGATTTTTGAACCCTGCAGCTGGACATAGAATTTGTACAATGTGACATCAGGAACCTAGGATGGAGAGGTAGTGGCAGTAATGGCCTAGTTTTCTTCATATTATCTTTTTTTTCGATTGGTGAAGTCTGTGTCTGAAGTTTCAAATCCTGTGTTAGGTTCTAGTGTTGATACAGTGGTGATGAACCCTCCATTTGGGACACGGAGGAAGGGCGCGGATATGGAGTTTCTCTGTGCAGCCTTAAAAGTACAAATTCTCTCCCACCTAATGCACTTTGGTGGTCATAAGTCTCTATCTTCTTGTAATCAAATCTTGTGATATCTTGATGCCAGATTGCTTCTGGAGCAGTATATTCGTTACACAAAACATCAACGAGAGACGTAAGTATCTTTTGTACTAAGTAAAGAATGTAGCTTGAATGTGCAGGATGTATATTTGAATGTAGAGGAGGGTCGGAGATTCTCCCGACCTCCTTCATTTAGCAGGAGGTTATGCAGCTTTCCCTAATATGACCATTTGTAAACTTGGTTCATTTCAGCATATTAAAAGGGCAGCCTTGCGTGACTTTGGTGCTAAAACTGCCGAGGTTTTGTGTGAGGTGAGTAATATGTCATTAGTATTTCTGATATATTCCAAGTTGAGTTTGGAAGTTGTTAACACTGTCATGTTTGTCAGTTTAACATTTGCAACATTCTGAATCCTGTATTTACAGCTCCGGTTCGATGTTCCACAACTATACAAGTTCCATAAGAAGAAGGAAGTGGATGTCGCAGTAGACCTTTGGCGGTTCGAGCCAAAAGATTAATCCAGGCAAAGGAATTTGAGTGCCCCTCAAAACATATCCTACATGCGACAAAACGCATTTGCAGTTGGGAAATGATGGTTTGTCTCAAAGTCTTGACAATAGCAAATGCAAGTTTTTGTAATTGCTGGATTGATTTTAGCAGCAACTGCTATCATTTATGGAGGAACACTTTTAGCAGATTCGTATCAGAATTGTTGCCTGTATGAATATAGAAGGGGAAAAACAACTATTGATGATGAGATACAGAAGGAAAAGCTCCCATGCTTTGATCACGAAAGAAAAAAGAATCCAGAGAACCCTATATTCTCATCCAAAAACTAGATTCTGTAACAGCCTCATGACGCCAGTTTTATCTGTTCATTAAGCAACAAAATTCTTCATTCCTAGGATTTTGCTTCTTCCTCAATCGGTGTCTTCTCCAAGTGTAAACCTCACGAACCTTCGGACTTTTATATTCTCGCCAAGACTGGCAACAGTTTGCTTCACCAAATCCTTCACCAGCAATTTGTCATCCTTAATGAATGGTTGTTCTAGAAGTGCAAGCTCTCCAAGCCTCTTTGAGATCCTTCCATCGACAATCTTCTCTCTTATGTTCTCTGGTTTCGACTGAAGGTCCTCCCTTTGCATCTCGAGCTCCTTCTCCTTCTCAACAATGCTCTTTGGCACATCTTCAGTTGACACAAACTGCACCTGTGGGCATGCAACGACCTGCATTGCCAGATCATCGACCAGTTCCTTGAATATTTCGCCCCTGCCAACGAAGTCGGTCTCGCAGTTGACCTCTATCAGCACTCCGATTCGAGAGTCATGAATGTAGGAACCTATCCGGCCTTCAGCTGCAAGACGGCTGGATTTCTTGTCGGCGGATGACAGTCCTTTCTTTCTGAGATAATCCTGTGCCTTCTCCAGATCACCACCTGTCTCTGCAAGGGCTTTCTTGCAGTCCATCATCCCAGCTCCTGTTTCTTCCCTCAGTTGCTTGACGAGTGCTGCAGAAACTGCTGCAGCTGGTGGCCTGAAATAGCATGGAAAATACATGTCAAACTTAAGGTCACTGGCTTATGCAAATTTGAAGGAAAAAAGACTAGTCCTGTCCTGTCATGCATAAAGACCAGATTGTCACCATAAGGAAATATCAGTAAGAAAACATAATATTATGGACTAGTTCGTAATAGAGTTCAATTTTAGCATTGTAAAGTTTTGAAGCAAGTTAAAATTAATGAAAAGTGAGTAGACACTTACTTCTGAACAGCTTCTTTCTCCTCTGTTACAGCAGCAGGTTGATCATTTGGTGGTGCAGGTGCAGATTTCGCAGCGGTTTGTGCAGCAACCTCAGCAGCAAAATCCTGACTCTTCTTCTGCAAGCCTTCACCAAGATTATACCTAACAAACCTCTTAACCTTCATATTTTCCCCAATGGTTGCAATTGTCTGCTTGATCCAGTCCTTCACCAAAACCTTATCATTCTTGATGTACGGCTGCTCCAACAGTGCAAGCTCATCGAGCCTCTTCTTGATCCTTCCTTCGACAATCTTAGCCCTAATCTGCTCTGGTTTCGACAACAAATCTTCCTTCTGCATCTCAATCTCTCTCTCCTTGCTCACAACTGCTTCAGCAACATCTTCTGTGGCAACAACCTGTACTTGTGGACACGCAGCCACTTGCATGGCTAGATCATCCACAAGCTCCTTGAAGATTTCTCCTCGAGAGACGAAATCTGTCTCGCAGTTTACCTCGATCAGGATGCCGATTCTGCTGTCGTGAATGTATGACCCGATTCTTCCCTCAGCAGTTGTTCTGCTGGCTTTTTTCTCTGCACTCGCTAGTCCTTTCGTTCGGAGGAATTCTATAGCTTTAATGATGTCACCTCCTGTCTCAGAGAGTGCTTTCTTGCAGTCCATCATTCCTGCTCCTGTTTCTTCTCGGAGCTGCTTTACCAGAGCTGGTGAGATGGTTGCTGCTATGATCATCACAAAAGGAAATAACAGACACAAGTTCAGAGCCAAGAGGAACATGACTAATTGAAGAATTACATGCCAAAGAACAAAGATAAGAGACAGCATTATAGAGAGAGAAACCTGTTGTTGTCTCTTTGGGGGGAGGATTGCTGTTGAGACCATTTCCCTCAGGAGCAGGATCCTGCTTCTCACTTCCAACTAGAGAGGCATAAATAGTTTCATTGTCTTCAACTTTCTTTGGAACTTCTTCAATTGTTTGATTATCCGCTGCCTCGGTTTCGATTTGTGATAGATCAGAACTTTCTCCACTTTCCACTCCATCTGTATTCAGACAAGAGAAACAGCTCAATGTAAATCGTGGATTCAAGCCTAATAGTTTACAGAAATCCATTTAGCAGGAGACATAAATTGGAGATCAACTTCTTAAAATATATTTTAAGTTGGTTTGTTTTAGCTTCCCATTCAAACCCTTCTTAATGTTTCATTTCTTTTAAGCTCAAACAAACACAGTCGACATGCTTTCTTATTATGAATCAAGAACTCGTACATTTCATTATTTTAGATTCCGAAGTGGGAGGAAAGAAATTACAGATGCACACCTGAACTAACGAAACTACCACTCTCATCCGCAGCTTCTGTGGCAACTTCATTATCTACTGGTGTGGCAGCTGCTTCTATTTGCTCTTCCACATTACCCTCTACAACACTTTCATCAACAGGAGCTTCTGCAGATGAATCAGAATTTCCATCACTTTCCACCGCTTCAATTGAAGGTTCTTCCACCTTTTGATCTGCACTTACAATCTCGTTAACAGTTGCATCAATCTTCTCCGGTTCTTCAATTGGCTCATCATCAGCTGCAGCTTGAACAGCACTCTCAACTTCTTCTGATGAGCTAGACTCTATGCTCTCCACCTCTGAAGAAGCTACAGTCTCTTCCTGCTCCAAGTCCTTCTCATCAACATTAGCTTCCACAGCCACCTCTGAAGAAGCTGCAATTTCTTCCTGCTCCAACTCCTTCTCACCATCATTAGCTGCCACAGCCACCTCTGAAGAAGCTACAATTTCTTCCTGCTCTAGCTCCTTCTCTTCTGAAATCTCAGCATCTTTTTGCAACTTCACTCTATCATCAAGAAATTCTGCTATATCCTTGTTCTTCCTGAAAGCCACCATGAACGGATTAGTTGCAGCATGGATAACTCCCTGAGTAAAGTTCTTATCCTCCTTCTGATTATCTTCCTCCTTTTTCATCGTCAAAGTAAATTGACCTCTATTTATACGCAAAACCCTAACACTAACTTCCTGTCCCATCACTAGTTGAGAACCACCCATAAGGTTTCCAAATCCCTCACTAACTTCTTCTGAAGCAGGCAAGAATCCTTCCTCGCCTTCAGGGAGAGTGAGGAAAGCACCAGACCTGGTCAAGTTCTTAACCGTGCCATCTAGTTGCTGCCCAATAACAAACTTTGCAGTCTTCTCATCCCTCTTCTGACCACTCCTTTGTGTGTTTCTTCTTCCAGGTCTCGGCTTATCTCCACCACCTGTCGAAGCAGAATAATCTTTCCTTTGCTGCTGTGGCTTACTACTATTTCCATCATTATCATCATCGTCACGCATACTCAGAGAAATACGTCCCGTCTCTGTGTTTGCTTCAAGTAACCTCACCTTGACCTCTTGTCCAACTGAGACGACATTTCCAACGTCCTTAACATAGCTATCACTCAGCCTGGAAACATGTACAAGGCCGTCTGTGAAAGCCCCAAAGTCGATGAATGCTCCAAATGGTTGAATAGACCTTACTTTCCCGGTGAACATTGCCCCAGGAACCAGATCCTCGTTCTTTACAGGCGGCATCTCACTTTTTCTGCCCGGTCTTGCACGCTTAGCTTGAGTTGGTGCAGTCTCTGCAGGTATTTCTGAGGCTTTATTTGAATCTTCCTCACTTGTCACAGGCTGTTCCTCACTTGTCACAGGACTTTCGGGCTCTCCAACAGCTATGTCCGTGCCTGTGGCTGACACTGTTACTGAATGCACTGTGCTTCTGTGAGCCAAAGCATGATGATGTGTTTTGTAATTGGGCAAGGACTTGATGGATGCTGGGAAGGGTAAAACGGCGAGTCTTGGGGCATGCTTTGCTGATTTCCTGGATAAACTACATTTTGTGGGAGCATTGGTCTTGTTCAATGTGAGGGGAGTTCCTGGAATGAGTGCGATTCTGCTTGTAGAACATGGGATTACTGGCGTCATGTTTCCTTGGAATTGCAATTGGTCAGTCAGCAGCTAGAATCAGTTCTTCATCACAACATTCACCTGTTCCAAGCGTAGTTATAAGTTAATTCCCCACACAGAAATCCAGGGAGAGTATGTTCCAAGAATCAGCATTCACAGTTCCTGAAATGTAGGAAGTGTCGACAACATGGCAAAGCAAGACACAACTTTCAACTCGGTTACCTACTAAACCAGTCAAATTAAACATCCTACAGGAGATTAGCTCGACTGATTACGTAATACAAGCTCATTCAACCCAAAAAATCATGCCAATTCTCACTTTCCAATTGACAAATTATGCAATATCAACTTCCACAGCTAACTCAATTCCACAAACCACTGCAATGCTTTTCACCAAACATTGCTTACTGAGCTGAAAAGTTTAGCCAAATGCACATTCCCAGGCAATGTCCATCACAGCATTGCAAAGCAAGCAAGACCGTACAAGAAATTCTCACGCAAAATTACAACAACAAGAGACATACATCACAGGAACTGAATTCAACTCTTCCCAACAACAAACTCAACAGCAGAAGAACAAATCATCCAAATCAAACATTAAGACGGTGAGGAAACCACAGGAAGCAGCTTCGAAACCATCGACCCATGAGCTCAGAAGTGATTAAAGCCAGTACCTTGGCAATCTGTTGGAAAAGGGTCCCTGAAAGATTGTATCTTTTCCCTGTCAAAATGTCTCAGGAGGACTGGAAGCTAACCGAGAGCCTTCTTCCTGCAACGGATAAAAGACCAGAGAAAGAGGGAAATGAAAGGGGGAAGATAAAGGGCTTTAAAACCTTATCTTAGTTATGGTTCCCTTCCCCACTGTTTTTCTCCCGTTCGTGGATACTGGA